ATTGTGCAAAATGCCAACAAACCTAAAAACCCCAGGGCTCTTTAAGTGGTATGATCCAGCCTCCAGTCGAAATGGGCCTTGGATGATGGCATCATCCCAGATGGGCCTTCCATGATGACATCATCCCAAAACCATTTTTTAACAACCAAATTACTGAAAAAAATCGATAATTCATAACAAATAGCAGTTTTTGGGGTAGCAAATAATCCTGGAGGGAATTAGCTGTAATTCAAATTTTGGAGATGTGAAATTTTATTCATGGTATTTCCCGGACTCTCCAATTCATGCTGTCTGCTGTTATCCACTTTCAGAAATTATCCAACAATTCAATAGCGATACATTTCTAGAATGCTTTATATACTAGATCCCTGACTGTACGGTGTCTGCAGGTTGGAGGGTCCAGAAGTAACTTCTGCCAAATGAAGTACAGCCCCCTAATAGGATCTCAGGCGCCATGTCAGGTAGGCACTGGAGTCTACGCAGTCTGGCAGCTCTCAGCTCTAACAGACTGGTTAGAGCAATCTGTGTTTCTCAGGAGGCAGTCTAGAGGCACACAGGAAGGTAATTACAGACTCCTTTACAGTCCGCTTTGTCTTTGCAGTTTCCATTTACATCTCAATGCTGGTAAATTTCAGCTGGTAAGAAGCAAAGCTTATTTCCCCCTACTCTAATTTTGAAGGAATTATGACAAAAGGTTACACAGACAGCAGTAAATAATGATGAATGTTTAGAGATGGGCCAGGGAGCATTAGGCTGATAATACCAATCTGTTTATCTCCTCAGCCATCAGTGAAGACCTCCACACAGCCCAGATTTTAATAACACGCATCAGACTCTTATTAACTTTATTGTTAACTTCAGTGTGTGCATTGTCAACATTTTTACCCCCAGCCTTATAATTTCTCGTTTTAGAAACACAAACATCTACCAGTAATGAGACATTTTCCAAATCTCCAAAAATCAGCCGCTGCCCTGTGTCATGGCCACCAGAACGACAAGGCGAGCATCAGATAGGATGCAGGACCCTAAGCTGACTAAAAACATAGAGCAACCTACAAGCCAAGACTAGAACAGATCCAAAAAAACTAGGAAACAGGTCAAAAACAGCCCGAATGACCGAACAGGCAAGACTGTGCAGGTAAACATGACCAAGATCACAACAGAGCAAGGAAGCCATGTCCAGAGCAAAGTGAAATAGTCTGATTATCAGGTGATTTACGGTCAAGCTGATGCTAAGAAACATCTGAGGTGTCGTCTTATCTCTCCCTTGGTGATCCTGTGGGACACGCACCTCTCAGTTAGCCTTGTTGTCATTTCTTTGACTAAACATTACCAGCACAGACAAGCGTAATGAAATGTGTGAAAAGACGATGCATCGTGTAAAGGCTTTACAGAGATGTGCTGGGTGAGGGCCCACCGAGCAAGGGAATAAATTCCTCACTTTTCAGGGGCTAAAAAAAAAAATAATCAATTTTCCTTTTATTTTGCTGAAAAATCATGCCAGATGGCTGCTCTTTCACATTATGTTTTAAATGAGTTTTTCATCTACAAAACAAAACCTGTGCATTACACAGTAATGACTGGGCTTAGTAATCAATATTTGCCGTTCGTCAGAGTGGATAATTACTATTACGCTGGTTGTGTCTTTGACCCCCTTAAGGCTTAATTCACATGAAATGTTGTTATTGCTAAGCCGACTGAAAGCCTGAATTGTCCTCTGCGTACTAAAACTTCCTGATTGTCAAAGAAGAACACATGTCTGCTCCTTAATTAAAAAAAAATAAAAAACATTATTTTTAATTGTCCTTTGCAGTATCAGTTGTTCAGAAAAAAGTTCAGAAACAATTTCTCCCTGGCTGCTCCCCCCCATCAAAGTCGCTGCCCTTTGTTTCCACGCAGTCAATCATAATGTATAGCAGTGGAAAATGGACATAAGTGACATAACATTGTAGCACAGTGTGTCATTTTGATACTCTGACAGGTTACCTCTGCCATGGGGAATGATATCTGTCAGACTGCCCAGTCAGTGAAGGACAGATCCATGCCACAGACCGAGACAGTGCAGTCGACCTCTTTTGACTCTGGAGGTCCCAGCAAATCACCTTTGAAGATGCTGTGAGATCAAGCATGAGGTTCTGTCCACACAGGCTTCCACAGATAATAGGACAGGTGGGCATGTAATCGCTCCCAGGTTCTGGGTTTAATGTGGAGCACAGCAGTCAGATGTTATAGACACACTAATATAAATACAACCTGATAACATTCACAAATTTTAGTGCAAAACAGCAGTGAATGGAAATGGTTCCCTACCTTCCCAGTTTCACCTTTAACCAAGATTACAAACAGAGAAAGTTAAAACATTTGATTGCTGTGAAGATAAACTCTGCATCTAGTATAAACATTGAAAAGAACCTTCCGGAACTATTACCATGACAACCTTTGCTAGTTACGGAGGAGGTGAAGAAGCTAAAGCATCATACTGGACACATAATCAGCTCAGCGTGAAATTCAGGAAGCAAATACTTTAATGCCGTGTGGAACGCAATTATTGCATGTGACCATCAAAATTAAAATGTTTTTTGAAAACCTGAAAGTCTAGGACATACTGAGACATCCACTCTGTGGTCATTTTGAATTCTAACTAAATACATCCTTAAATTTGTGAATTTTGTGGGCAGCAGTGTCGGATTTGAGACCGGAAAGTTGAAGGACTCAAATTTGAGGGAGGTTCTGTATTCTGAATTACCCCAATAAACTTCTGGCAACATAGATTGTCCCATATGAAGGCAACAGTTCAGAAAATTAATTCTAAAACTGTCAAAAATTCTCAATTTAATGACAGGAGCCAAAATCAAGGGTTAAAGGTATGGTGCTGTGAAATGTTCTGTGGTTTACATTCCTGAAATCTGTTGTCAAAACAACCATGCTTGATACACCAGGAACCTTAACATAGACAGCTTTGCAAGCGGCTCAGTCTGATCTGTTGAGTACAGTTATATTACTCCACGAAGCTTTTTTCAGCAATTTAATGTGTCACTGAAAAAAAACAAAAGTGAAGCAGGTGGCTCTTGGAAAAACTCTGTTCTTTCTGGTCAATGGAAAGTCTCATTCCGATTCTGATGCTGATATTCCTCAGGCCCCACAAAGCATAATACACACCAAGAAGCTGCATCTCGCTGGTGTGCGATGTTCTGAAATGAACTTCTCCTCTGCAGATCCTTCTTCCCGGTGGCTTGGTGTATTGCTTTGAGGAGAGCATGGAAGTTGAAGAGGAGAGCAGAGCATTTTTGGTCGGTTTTGGCTGTAATATTGCGACGTAATTTATAAGAAGTCAACTTTGCACACTTCCCACAGACAGAGCAGAGACACCTGACTGTGTCTGTAGAGGAGACACCTGGGAATAGCTAGAAGTAACATGGGAGAGGTCAGGTTCTAGATAATGCTTAGGTTCTCCTGCATTCCTGACATGTATCAAACACCTTCACCTGAGAGCTCAAACACCTCCAGACCTTGATGCTCTCTATGCAAAACAAGCGAAAGTTTTGCATTTGTACTTTTCGATTCCATCGCACTGCCTCTCTCTGCATGACTGGCTGGCTCACAGTTTACAAACGGGCTTATGGTGTTGTAAAGTTAGCCCGGGCTCAGGGTGTCGTGGCGGCGGCCAGCGTGTTCCGCTCGGCAATGATTGTGAGAGAAGCGTTTTAGTTAAGAGGCCGCATCACTGCTCTCCAGAGCCTGGCTCCTTGCAGGGGAGCATGCGGACGGCCTGCCAGCCATCGACGTGGAAATGCCAGGGCCATGAGCGCCCCGGGAGGCGACCGCAGGTTTGAGGCTCATGCAAAGGTCACAGGATGGACATGAGGATCAAGTTAAAGGCTGCCATGATCCACATGTCCCACTATCCTCAATCTACTAGAAGTACGGTGCCTCTGAATAGTGACTCAGCCTCCTTTCACAATGATTTACATTCTCTGAGTTCCTGTCATATCTTGTCATAAGCTTTTTAAAATAAAAAATAATAGTAACACTTTACTTAAGGCCATGTTTTTAGTAATTTATAAATACATTCGTAATGCATTATAATGCATTCATAAAGCATTATATACCTGGCTATAAATATTCATATTAATTTTTATATCGACCATTATAATGCATTATAAAGGTATCTATAGTGGATATCTATATTTGATTCCTAAAAACATGGCCTTAGGTGAAATAAACATTGAACTACATGCTGTACCGTGACATAACCTTTGGATGCAATATCTGTGAAAAATACATTTCTGTCCAAACAAAGATTAAGATTTGTTCTCAGGCTGGCAATCGACGTCCCTTGTATCATGTCATAAGTGCGCAGAACCGATGTGAGCGCAGCCCAGCGTGTGTCCGTGAGATAAGTCCAGAGATCTTACGGCCAGATGACCATCTCCCTCTGACGATGATCTTAGAATATCCTCCACAAGCTGAGGCACTGTCACCTTCCATGATCTTGTCTGGCATCTGTCTCGCTTCCTCTTAATTTACTGTCTGACCTGCTGCAAAAAAGGCCAGTCAAACAAAAAAAAAACAACAACCATGACAGCAACTGTTTAAGTGTTTGGCATTTAAAGAACAAAAGGGCTTTAGGATTTCAAACGGAACAATGGGACAGCTCTTAACGAAGCATGTATTAATGGAGCTTTAATTAATTCAAAGATATGCAAAGTCTAGTCTGGTACCAGATAAGGTGAACCAGAATTGATCAAAGTTTGGAAATACACAACCATTAACCTCTCTCCACTCGTGAGACACAAGGCAGGTCCAAGCGCTTTATGTTTACTTACGTTATGCTTCTGCCTGTCAGGAGAGGTAAACAAACATCAATGGAAGACATAAATTGATAAGTATCTGTTTCAGTAATGTGGCAAGATTTTCTCCAGGAAAAACATATGAATGACCCCCCCCCCCCCCCCTTATCCCCCCCCCCCTTTATGAAGAAACAGGAATGGAATGTGAGGCGAATGTTTGCCAAGTGGAACACATGAAAACCACTGATTTTCTAAGTACGCCACCAGTTTGGGCTAAAAATAGCCAGATAAGTGTTACCTCCAGGGTGGAGCCTGATGTCTCTCTCTGTCCTATAAACACAGAAATTAAGCATCATTATTGATGGCGTTCAACAACATCCGTGAGATGAATGTTTATGTCATTTATGATCCAGCCTCGTTAGAGGTGAGAATGTTTGATGGTTCACTAAAGGGGGCCAGAAGACAGATGGGTCTCTCCAGGAAGCTTGTCACGGCCCGTGGGTGTCGACCACACCACCAACCGAGTCTCGTCCTTAGCCTTTTGCTACATTTAGTGTTTTTCTCATCCAGTTTCTTCATTTCATTTTCTCTTACAAATGTGGCAATTTCATAAATTAAGTGTAGTCCGCTTGACTGGTTCTGCACACCGTGCAAAAAAAAAAGCACCGAGTGTCTTTATGTTATTAAACAAAAAAAAAAAAAGCTAATATTTTGAGGAGGTTGTTTTAAGTCCCTGATAATAGTTCTCGGCTTCCGGACCCCTGACTGCCGCCGCGACAGACTTAGATCACATCACTGTCCAACGTGACACTCCCTACGACAGACGTGGAGATGACAGGAACTGCGAGGGGACACTCCGACGCATCAGGAAACCGCCTGCTCCTCATCTGTGTCGTCCATACCCATCCTGCCGTTTGGCGTCAACACCTGGCATTTCCTTTGTTAAAGAGTCAAATCTGGAACAATCACTGCAGAGGGTAAAAAACCTGATGCTATAAATTAATGCCATTAACTATAACTGACAGAAGAGTCCATTTAAAAACAGCCATTTTATAAAGTATGTTAATGTCACTAGTTTTAACCTTGAGGCCTTTAAATCTATATGTTAAGTGATGCAGGGTGACAACTACTGCCAACTGTATGATGTCGTTTCTTGGATATATGTAACATCAACGTGTCATGTGACTTTTTGAGGGGATACAACTGGCTCAACTTTGGCCCGCCTTCAGTCCCAGCTCTAAGCATTTAAAGACGAATGTCCCTTGTGCCTCTATATATGACGGCAAGTCCTACCCACTCAGTACTGCTGTATTGTTGCAGTCTGAGGACTTTTAATTCCCTCATGCAACGAACAGAGTTTCTGTATCGAACCAGGTGACGTCTGACACTGACTTCATCTTCAGAATTTCCCAGAATGCATTTTGAGATTGTATGGCATTCAAGACCTTCCAAGCACAGAAGTATCATGAGATCCAGGACCTCAGTTTCCAAAAGGAACCTCTGCTGTGGCCACATTGAAAAGACCTGATTTGTGTCCAAAATCTGAGTTGGGTTGAGTTTGAAATAGCGAACCTGCACAAGCATTTAAGGAGGAAACAAATGGAAAGAAGAAGAGTATCAGGCAAGTCAGCAGAGATCAAGAATCTTTCTGGCGTAGAAAATGTAACGGAGGCCAGTATTTGCTGTTTTTCATAAAGCACCCAGATTCCTGCACCTTCTCAAAAGGAATATTACTGCTTCCCGGCCTGTTAAATTGATATTGACTATGCAAGCACTGAGACTGGTTGATTTAAGGGTAAGACATAAATCACCAGATGTTTGGGACTGTGAGACAAGTCAGAGCACAGGTTGTTAAATAAGTCATAGTCCACATGAACTTAGGAGGCGGTGCCATATTTGATTGGCCTAACAATCCTAACAAGGGGCGGAGCCCATTAGTAGAAAAATGCTTTTTGCAAAGACCACGTTGCATTTACTTCCTGTTCTACCCCACGTGGGCTCACCCTGGTTCTGAAATACTTATTTAAGCCATTCATTCGTATTTAAAAAATGTCCACTCTATATTCTGCACAGTAGTATATAGTATATAGTATACTATTTACTGTAGTATAGTATTTAGTATACTATTTACTGTAGTATAGTATATAGTATACTATTTACTGTAGTATAGTATATAATATAGACTGTTTTGAAAGTGATGATCTGATCTCCATCATGCTGTGATGAAGAGACAATGTATGGAATGTATTCCTGCAGGGAAATTTATAATATAAAAATGTCACATAAAATAATTATTTTAAAAAACTATTTTGCCGATTCATTTTTACAAAGCACTATCACTATCACTGTCATTTGAGTAGGCATTCAAAATAGGGACCTAGCATTCGTGAATTCAGCTCTGATGTAATAAAGTATTTCCACAAAAAACATTTCATTCGTTCTGTGACATTAAACAAACCTATTTCAGAAATAATCACTGTCTACAGAATGCCTTCTTTGATCAAGTGCCCCTGATTGAAGAGGATTGTTTCCCTGAAACACAATCAAGCTCATTTTTTGGAGAACGTGGGCATGGCATTACTTTAAAAAAAAAAAAACACCTTTCCTTCTTCACACTTCTGTTTGGCCTTCTTCCATTTTCTCATCCCACTTTTCTTTGTTGTAAGCTGAGCAATGAGTTCTCTCCTTACGCCGAACAGATTCAGCTGAGAATGAGTCAGCTGTATTACACGGAAATCATCTGGGAGATTAAGTGCTGTGGATCCAATCAGATGCTATTGTGCACCTTGAGTAATGCTATAGTTTGAGATGGAAGGATTACTTGCACAAAGAAAAGGCACAAGGCCTCAATACAACCTCCAGCCAGTATTGGAACACTCGGAAGCTTCAGTCACTTTTCTGAGGCCTGACGGGATTTGGAGCCAGCAGCATAATCGATTGCATTGTCCCAGGTCAATGGTGGCAGTGTTTGCTTCTGCTGGAAAAATGGTTAAAGATCTGGACATCTCCCAGGTTCTCACAAACCTAGATTCCTTGAGTTGCTGGATCAGATACCAGGAGTGGAACCAAATAGATAAGACATTAAGCTAAAGTGCCTAAATAAATAGTAAGTCTTTAAGTCAAAATGCCTAACAGTGAAATGAAGCTCTGTGATGCGCACAGAAACCACAGATGATGGCAGGGAGGAAGAGGAGGATGAAGAGGAGGTACAGAACGAGAGGCATGACAGAGTACCTTCCCTGCAGTGAGTCCAGGCATCAGAAACCCTGGTACTCCTCCCCTCCACATAAAGCACTTCAGTGATTTCATGCAATGATTTTATGAAACTGCTGCCTAAATGGCTATTGGCTGTATTTGCTCTGGTCACATGACCTTATGTATGAACAAAGCTACAAACAAAACACTGTTCACTAACAAGATAAGTGAGCTAACGAACCAACATAAAATAAATGGAATGAAGGGTATAATTCACTCCCTAAGTCCCCATCTAACCAAACACAGGAGGAAAACACACAACGAAAAGTGGCATTTACTCCTATAAAGGTGAAAACAGAAATTTTAAATGTAAACAAAAAGTGACTCAAAATACATAAAGTCCTAAGACATCATGTTTGTATAAAACACCAACTGAAACCAAAATCCATAAATCAATACGACGATCCCCCCCCTATCGTGGAAGTTACGTCCCAGACCCATCAGCGATAGGTGAAAATCCACGATTTAGAAAGACCATATAAATAAACATTTTTTGTTTATATAGTTTAAGCTTTAAATTACCCCTCCCACACGCTTTAAACACATGCAAACTTATTAAAACACATTTTGTAAACACATATGATATGTGGATGCCGGGCTAAGGATATGAGTAACATAATTGACAAAAAGTTTGCTCACAACATCGGACCACAAGCATGGTATGTGATACGCAGAGAACTGTGATGCATTGGGGAAAAATCCACGATATAGCGGCGGCGCGATAGCTGAACCGCGATATACCGGGGGCGCGACAGCTGAACCACGATATAGCGGGGGATCACTGTAAAGCCAAAATATATGCCAAGATAAAAGTCATTCACCACACCCTAATCACCAAAAGCCCTCTGATTCTCTGGGCTTTTATTTGTAGAAGTAGCCAATTCTCTTCCAGTAACTGAAAGAATAAGGCACCTCTTCAAAGGCCATTGACGGATGAGATGTGAAAGGTTAGTTCAGCTGGGCTTTTATAGCCATGTGCCACAACATTAGCTCTGTGCTCATGGCTGCTCAGCAATAAATGCAGTGGTGACAAAAAGGAAACTTCCTTGTTTTCAGTGTGGCTCCTTGGAGTGCCCTTAATCATTAGAGCCTTATTGCTGAATTGACACTGATCACAAAGCAAGAGTGGATTTTTAAATTCACGGAGGCTTGTGGATAGCAGCTCAATCACCATAACCTTGATCCTGCCATATAGTCACGTTGAATAGATCAAAGTGGCCATTGTGATCGAGAAACGCTGGCCATCATAAAACAATGGGGTGAGTGAGCACTTCTCTGGGTTCAGCCCTCTGAAGTTGGTGTTTGTGTCACTTTGGGAGATCAAATGAAAATGGGCTTGAATACAAACAACAAACTAAACCTGTAAAATCAAAATAAGGAAGATACGGTTTTTGCTGTGTTAAACTGCATCTATCTGAATGTGATTTATTGCATGAAATTCAAAATATAAAGTATGAAAGGCACGTGTGGCACGGATATTGTAGCCTCCTGCATCCTCACTCAGTGAAAAGTCACCGAATGTCACAGAATGAATCGTAGGTCACATGAGCTTATCTCTGAGCGAGGAAGCCCCCAAAAAGACAGAATTCTGGGTACATGGAGCCCGGACAGAATCCCAACCCAGAACAATGAAACTGCGGGGAGTGCTATGAGCGAAGACGATGGGCAGAAGATAAGGCAGTTAGACAGTCACCCTACAGTTACAGGGCTAATGATTTACTGTGTTTTGCAGTGTATGTGGATTTTATACATCCAGCAATGTGGTTTAGGTGTGTCGCCATTTCTGGGGGCCATGGTCCACCGCTCTGCCCGCTCGACAGCTGCCCGCTCTCTTCCTTCAGCACCCTGGATAGTCACCACCTGTCAAAACTTCAGCACCCATGTTGTGCACCGACAATGAAGCACCCAGAAGGAGTGGCAGCGGTAATTCCACCCGCCTGGACAGCAGTAATCACCCCAGCTGGCTTCACTTTCTCCGTGGCTTCGGGGAGAAGAAGCAAGCAGCTCTGGCACTATGATGGAGAAAAGTGCAGGACTGCTGCTTAAACCCTGGCTGGGGCAACCTGACTGTTGAACGTTTCCAAAAATCTGCTCGCTGTCTCTCTACAGCACTTCCTGTTGTCTCTCGCTCTCCTAGATGAAACTGAGAAGGAATAAAGGTGCCCGGCTCTGTGGGTGTGGTCCCCTCCTTTCTAGGGGAACCCTTCCAGAAAACAATGGGTGTTTCTCAATACCAAGAACACAAAGATCGCACTTGTGGTCTTGGCAAGAGCAATCTTGCTTACTTGCTTCCAAAGAAGGAATTTCGGGCGCAATGAATCAGGGGATTGCTCTTGTTTAGCAAGGATGCAACCGATGTATCCTTGATATTTGAGGCGGAGCAGAAACGACATCCAGGGATTTTACCGTCCCCTGTACTTCTGTCCTTAGTATTGGAACTGGTCTTTGGCAATGGAAGATGACATAAAACGGGTACGCGAGAACACGAGTACAGTCAAGTAGGCATATTGGGAAACACCCTGTGCCAGCCTAGGGCTGCCTGAATCCACTTCCTTAGCCCCCCTCTTATTGGATTCTGAGGCTCGTTCCTAATAAATCTCACCTCTAGGGGGCGCTGACCCAAGACTTGTGTACTTCTGTGCTCATCCCTGTCACTGTTCGTATGTGTGGGTTTCCTTATGAAACCTTGGTTGGGTTGAAGGGGCATTGGAGAGGAGAGAGTATTAGTCATGCTGCTGAAGCTGAATTCTTTTGGTGGATAAGCAAAAGGAAATGTATTAAAATCCACTGTATTCCCACCTCTTTCGATTCACACCGCTGGAAACTTGACAGAATATCATAACCAATAAGAGACGATGGTTGCGATTACAAGAAAGAGCATCAACACTGAACACATGAGCAGGGATAAACACACGCGTCAACGTCATTGAAGCATACACATCCGTGTTGCAGCCTAATTATAGATCATTAACCTTTAGCCGCCTGGATACGGCACAGGCCAAAACTGTAATTACATTTTTTCAAGCTCATGGTTCTGATACAAATCAGTCTAGTCAGCCTAATTAGTGAAACGTGAGCCTTCAATGGAGTCTAGCGTGTCACCTGAGCGGCACAGCAGGGTCGTCCAACTAACTGAGCAAAACTTAACAGTGACATACAGGGGAAAATGCAGCATCTCAACTTGTGGTTAGAGATCTGAGCTCATACCTGCGTTAAGCTTTTGAAGGGTTTTACCGTTGTGGGCTTGAAGAGGGTACTTACTCCGATCTACTCCAGTAAAACTTCTGTTTCCATGGAACTTCCACAGGGTGTTTGACAAAGGTTGCATTTCCCCCAGGAAATATTCATATGGGAAACATGGCACTACTTTCAACATAACAATCTTCATTGTATATGCAATATTGTTTAACTGTGTGCTAAGTCAGCGCACCCTCAGAAGATGGCGTCCCAGCGCCCCCTCAGAAGATGGCGTCCCAGCGCCCCCTCAGAAGATGGCGTCCCAGCGCCCCCTCAGAAGAAGGCGTCCCAGCGACCCCTCAGATGATGGCATCCCAGCGACCCCTCAGAAGATGGCGTCCTAAGTGGCTGCCTGTTTTGCCTTATTGGTTGACCAGTGCTGAGTGGTTTTTCTACTAATTTAATCTCTGGCAAAAAAAAAAATCCACAAATGAGCCTAATTCACAAAGGTTCATTTTGCAAATTAATGCTATGCGGAGATAAAATGTCAAGTCTGACATGTTACTGCTCTGCAAATGTTCTCTTTTACAAATCACACGCACCATGACATTTTAAACGTCCGATTGCCGGTTCTAAACCTCAGATCAGACGATGACCCAGCTCTGCGTGCAGGTTCCAGATGGGCAACTTTTCACAACCACACTGACATTACAGTGAAGTGTATTTTTTCCCCAGCTGAATTACAAGTATGCAGACTAGGGATTCGTCCATTCTCATTTCTGACCACTTGGAGTTTGAGATCCTCACCCCGTAATCTTCATCGCTTGATCACCACCGCCGTCAGTGTGCTCCCAGACTTTAACCTTGTGGTCCCCGCATGTTCCCAGGCTGTGACCTTAACTGCTGTAGAGCTGCCATTGAAGTTGAGGCGGGAACATTTGTGCAGTTTCACCGAAGCCTGTACATGCCTTTGGCAGGTGGTGTCTATAGCAGATGATTCATGGAGCTGTTACTGCAGCCATGTCTCTCCCTAGGTTTTCACTCTTGACCTTTGACCTGAAGTAGAACTGGACAAATGAAATGTATTTATTAAGAGCGTAACAAAGTCAGGTGGCCTTCTGACCCTCTGATCTCCAACTTTCACCTTCTCTTGGGGGCACTTCTGTTTTTTTTTCTCTTCTTTTGAGAAATCACTTTTCTTTTTTGTTAAAAGCACGACTGTTATCAATGGTTTTAATTGAATTATGTGCCTGTTTGTTTGTGTAATGGGCCCTGTCATTCAATTACAGTACAGCTAATACAATAACCGCGATAAAGTATCAGCGTTCAGATGTATAATTGCTTTACTATTGCATAGTCGCACGATAACCGATCACTTTGCAGGGTGATGCCCGGTGAGAGTTTGAGTGATTATGTGCGAAAGTGTGAACAGATCCACAGGAGAGATGGAGTGGGGGAATGATGCTGAACCATACAACATACAAATTGTCAATTTGCAGCGTAAATTAAACAAGCAAGACCCAGAGAGCCAGTTCATTGCTCCCCACTTTACATCCAACCCCTGCTTGACCCCCCCCCACCCCTCCCCTCCCCGAAAAATCCACGTCCTCAGAAGTTTCACACAAGTTACTGGGACAAACTTTTTTTCTCTCATTGTGTGTCCTAAAGATGGATTTTAACAATAACTGGTAACTCAGCTTGATAGACCTCAGTTTGATATACAGGAATCTCCGTCAGCCATCCTTTGAGATAATAACAGGTATATCCCATTTCTAGCTCACCATGTACTATTAAAATAACAAATATCACAATTTTATGAGTTAAAGAACAAACGACGGGGGGGTCCCCCAAAAAGATCCTGCACTGGGGCTTATGCCACTGGAGACTAAGGTTCGAGGTCCTGCAATGGACTGCCCCCCCTCCAGGGTGCCCCCTCCCCTTTGCCTTCTGGGATAGGCCTCCCCCAGGTTCCCACAACCCTGAACTAGATAAGTGTATATGGATGGATGGATGGATGGATGGATGGATGGACGTACTTAACTGAAAGGCTCATTTTATGGTTTTATCCTGCCCATTCTGTGCTCAGATATAAGTGTCAGCGTTCTTCATATGTGCAAATGAAGAAGTTCTTAAAGGATCCTGTTCGATCTGCTAATTAAACTCCTCTCATTATCGTTTTCACCCTATCGGTCTGATACCACATTAAACAGCAATTAAGAAAATTCTTACATTATGCGTAAATCCAACTCACCTTAGACTCATCGTATTCAGGAATATCTAACTCTGTCCAGTTTATAAATTAATTATAGGACCCTAGTCCAAAAGACATTATGAAGAAATGCATTTAAATAATATTGAATAGTAATTAATCTTTTTATAAACTCAATGAAAACCCCGTATTTGCCATACAGATTCTGACATCAGTACTAAGTTAGCAGCATAAACCTGTTCAGTTTCTTGTGACTCACTCTGCCCTGCCACCTTAGACCCCCCCTGTGTATCAGAGAGGACGGTTTGCCCATAATTAAGTGACAGGTGGACCGGCCCATTTCGGTGGCAGCAGGTGGCTGGGGTGTGACCTCATTCTTCAGGTGTCTGTTCCCAAGTTCAGCAACCTTCCAAATTAAAATCCCAAAGAAAAAGCATGCAGTGATACAGATGATTACTGCGGCTTTCAAAGAGTAATGTGGATGTAGTAAGAGTCATTACAGTGATACAGATTACTGCAGCTTTCAAAGAGTAATGTGGATGTAGTAAGAGTCATTACAGTGATACAGATTACTGCGGCTTTCAAAGAGTAATGTGGATGTAGTAAGAGTCATTACAGTGATACAGATTACTGCAGCTTTCAAAGAGTAATGTGGATGTAGTAAGAGTCATTACAGTGATACAGATTACTGCAGTTTTCAAAGAGTAATGTGGATGTAGTAAGTGTGATTACAGTGATACAGATTACTGCAGTTTTCAGAGAGTAATGTCGATGTAGTAAGAGTAATTACAGTGATACAGATTACTGCAGCTTTCAAAGAGTAATGTGGATGTAGTAAGTGTGATTACAGTGATACAGATTACTGCAGCTTTCAAAGAGTAATGTGGATGTAGTAAGTATGATTACAGTGATTTCTTTTTAGATTCATTTTAGAATATTAACTTTGCATCATCTTGCAAATCTGTCCAGAAAAATAGGTTGGAAGAGAATGAATTGGTGGATGTTTGTACCTTAAGTATGAGTGTTTAAAACTTTTTTCCTGCTTTCCTTGTGGTCCAGCCAAAGAGCAGGACCTGGAACCTGTTTGTGCTTCGCTCCTCTGCATCTCTGCGAATTCCTGCTGGAAAGACCAGGATTTGCTGGAATCTGTTGACCAAACATGTTTTTTGTGAAGCTGTTATTAAGGGAAAGAATTGCTTTTGTGAAGATTCAAAGACTCTTGTTGAAGACTCCTTATAGTTTCTTTCATATATTATGATGTGTTACATTTCATTTTTAAGTATTTAAAGAAAAACACACATGATGATAAAATGGGGAAAATAATCGTTTCCTGGAAGTTAGTTGAATAAAAGCCTCCATTTAACTGTTCCTGCTCTATACAGCTTATCAGGATCATGATGATTAAATTAATACACCCAATTTAAATTTGTCATTGAAGAACGAACAGCTATATGTATTTCATAATATATATGTATTAGATAATATTAATGAGTAATTATGCAAACATTAATTATTAGTGGGTGTATACTGGCTCTCCGGATGTGTACAAAGCACCTCTGGGCACCAACATACTTACTATCCCTTTAGAAGCTGGTGAAGTTTAACCTTCTGCAGGGTCTTCTCAGAAGAATGATGTCGCTGCTTCGGTCGCTGCTCATACAGTCACATTCTAGGCACATCTCTAGCGCGACAAAGTGACACCGTCTGCATCCCTCTTCAGGATGTAGAATGCCGAGTCAATCTTCCCTATAAAGTACATCACTTACAGGACCGGCCTTCTTCCTCATGTGATCACTGCTCAGCAAGCACCACACGTCTGCTCTGACACGCTGGCGTGAATGTTTGTGTAAGAGGTATTACTTTCTGAAGAAACCACACAGCTTTCACACTGCTCTGGAGATCAGGCCATATTGCATGGCTTATTAATTAAATCAGGTGGGAGCAGATGCTGCTTCAAACATTATGGGTGGATAAACCCCCTCCCTCTCCCAGCGCTCTCTGCCCCCCCCAGCTGCCCCAGCCCACAGCACACTGGGTCTGACACAAAATTATGTACAAACTGGCCCAGGAACATGGAGCTCAGCCTTGCTGAGTGTATATAGTCCCAGGGCAGTATTTAGTATTTGTTATTTTCTAACCTTCTGTCTATCTGTACCTCACCGACTTGCATGGCATCATATCGTATCAAACTGCATTGTGTTGAAACAAATTCTGACAAATCGCACTGCATCACAATAGGCTTGAAATGAATCACATTAGTAGTTGCTTCATATGTACCTTTAAAGCACTGGATCGTCAGCAATGCAGTGAGATGCGTATTGCACTGCCTCACTGGTGGACATCCACATCCCTCTTGGGGGCTGTTTTAATGGCGTACAAGCAGAGCACGAAGAAACACAAACATTCCTCCAGCATCAGGCGGCTGAGTCGAGGAGGCTGATGAACGGGAGGGTTAGCTACACAATGGACTTCAAGATGGCGTCCCCCCCCCACCCACCTCACTGGGGTGTGCAATCTCAGCATGTTTTTACATACAGCTGGAAGCCTGAATCGCTTCCTTTATGCATTTTCTTGCTCTTCCATCTATTTTTTGTCCACATTCACCTATTTGGTGGCAGGAACCCCGGGAAGACCATGCAGACTCCACCCCGGCAGGACCAGAGGTGGGACTCAAACCCAGAACCTTGGAGATGTGAGGGTCTCACAACCCACTGGCCAACCATAAATAGCCCAGATACACCAAGCAGACAGGAAATGCACAAGTGGCCAAAATTGCAGAAACATTTCCAATGTAGCTTGTAGAATTTTATGGGACCGTTGCTCCAGTTACTTATTTAATCATCCAATACATGATATTTGTAACATTCTTTGATTGCTTATAAACAATTCCACCAATATCCGTATTTTTAAAGTGCAAAAAAATGCTATGGTGTTTCCACAGTTTTGGCCACTGGTGTACGCCCCATTTACGCATCACAGCTGAAGCCGTGCTGGAAGCCCGTGTCGCATTCATGCTGATGCCTCATCCTCACGTCTGTGTCACGAACCGAGTCACTGCCAGAATTCCTGTGAGACGCTAACCTCATGGTTTGCGGGGTTAATGAAGGCATGCGTGACACCTCATGCTGCACTCCGATGATGCTCGCTGTCCCTCTCGAGCATGACAGCATCACAGTGTCTAACGCTGAGTGGTTAATAGCTGACGTACAGGATATTTTTAAAATCGCTGTATCATTTATCATTTGCTGTATTAATGATATGTAGAGTATTTTTCCAATTAGAACAGCAACAACATGTTGCCTGGTAAGTCCAGCCTACAGGACTGTGAATGTCAACAGACATCAAGGGATTTGTGCCTAAAGAGAGCAAGCAGGGGGGGGTCTGGAGAATTTCCCATGGGGATCAAAAAATGTATCAATATATATACAAAACTGCCAGCTAAGCCTATCTGACTAGACCGCCTTCCCAAGGAATAGCTGAACTGCTGGACTGACCACCTACATCTATTCCATAAATCCTGCAGCAACGTATCCAAGCCCTAAAAATCAACAATCCAAAATCTACAAGGTACCTGCTGGGGTGCTGGTCGTCTTGCACAGCCGTGGTTCTATGCAGGCGTGGTCATCCTGCACAGCCGTGGTTCCATGCAGGCGTGGTCATCCTGCACAGCCGTGGTTCCATGCAGATGTGATTGTCCTGCACAGCTGTGGTTCCATGCAGATGTGGTCATCCTGCACAGCCGTGGTTCCATGCAGATGTGATTGTCCTTCACAGCTGTGGTTCCATGCAGACGTGGTCATCCTGCACAGCTGTGCTTCCATACAGATGTGATTGTCATGCACAGCTGTGGTTCCATGCAGGCGTGGTCATCCTGTACAACCGTGGTTCCATGCAGACCTGGTCATCCTGCACAGCCGTGATTCCATGCAGATGTGATTGACCTGCACAGCTGTGGTTCCATGCAGACGTGGTCATCCTGCACAGCTGTGATTCCATGCAGATGTGATTGTCCTGCACAGCTGTGGTTCCATGCAGACGTGGTCATCCTCCACAGCCGTGATTCCATGCAGACGTGGTCATCCTGCACAGCCGTGATTCCATGCAGATGTGATTGACCTGCACAGCTGTGGTTCCATGCAGACGTGGTCATCCTCCACAGCCATGGCTCCAGCCTGTCATCACACACTTGTGTGGTTTCGTCATACCTGCTCAGTCATGCTGGTCTGGCTTTCAGGATTTGAATATGTTGATTATCTTTTGGTCCTCTGGCTCTATTTCATTGGTTCCTTCTTAGGTTTTGCTGAGCATCTTGGTTCTCAGTTGCCACTTGAGTGGTCCAGTTTCGCTCCCTGACCTCGTCTTTGACTTTACCCATTTCAGCTTGACACTTGAGTCCCTCTCAGTCACTTCATCTGGGTACCTCGCAGTCAGCGACTGAGTGTGCAAGGGCTTACCTGCCCAAGACAAGACGACCAAGGGCAGGGCACCAGGTGACATGGAGGCTTGGTGTATTTATGGTAGGCCTGTGCCACAGTACCTAGCTTTGCACTTAATCATTAAAGTACTGTGCTTGGGAATAGCCTACAGCACAGCTTACCCTGGTAACGGGTTTTTCTCTTTACTCGGGATTTACAGGCCAATTGACATGCTAAACAAAAGAGAAAAATAGCTGGACTTTGCATGTTTACACGTTTTTCCATGTCCTCTGTGGGGAAAAAATAGAATTCATGAAATTAGCTTCCAATGTGAAGGAGAGTTCATGGTTTCAATAACTGCCTTCCGCAATGTCGGACTACATGGGCTGGAGGACAATCACAACGGTTCAGGGCTGAACTGCAATCGACAGTCTGACCCTTAGCTGCTCTTAACCCTGTCACTGCCGCGTAGGAGGCGAGGTCAATAATACTGTGTCAGGGCCTCTTAATCACCACGACTTATCACCGATTTGTCCGCAGGCATTGCAGTATAGAAGCAGAAGATGCACCAAAACCATAATAAATCCAAGCTATTATCACACTTAACTAAACAAAATCGATGTCAGTTCTGACTGATGATATTTCTTAGTAATAATCAAAACAGCAGAATTCTGAACAAGTTAACAGCAACATATTTCTACACGCTTTTTAAAAATCTCATTTAAAGCTTCTTAAAACTGAAATCTGCCTAATATATGTTTCCTTACAGCTACTGCTTTCACATGCAGTTTCCTTTCATACAGTATTATTATCATGTTACTCTTACTGAAATATAATGGACCTTTATGGGTCCCGTCTACAATCGAAATGAAACCAAACCCAGCAGAGGGCTGATGCACTGCTAAGCTCACGGGGGATTTTATTGCCACATTTCTACTCGCCTATCTAAGTTTTTAATTAATGTCTCTTTTGTTTTCCAGTTGTACAAAATCATGTGCATACAAGCAAACGGAGCTGCCATCATTAAAATGTTAATGTTCCCCTTCTTCCTGCGTGTTTTATGAAGTAAATAATTCTGGAGGGTCCCCCAGCTGGGGTCCCGTCCTTCAGTGCCGGCTGCAGTGAGACGCTGGACACCAGTGATTATCCAGCCTCCTCACACGACAAACAAACCTCAGCAGACGGCAGTTGGCATTAAATTTGCATGATTTTTAACCACTGGGCCTAGTGCTGCCTTCTCAGTTCACCCAGATTGCAGACAGTCAGAGGGGGGCTTGGGGGGGGCTTGGGGGGGGCTTGGGGAGGGGCAGGTTGTTGGACCTCCTCACCAGCGTTCTTATGCTCCTCACAAGCCTTCCCTCCTGCTCCTTCTTTCAGCTGAGCTGTTTCACAGAATGTATTCACGTCCCTAATGTCAAACGCTCGAAGCTGCACTGGATGGGTGCAGTGTTGCAGTGGCACTTTAGAAGCCGGCTCGTGTCCGGAGCAGCATGCAGTCTCGGCACTGGATAGGTGCAGTGTTGCAGTGGCACTTTAGAACCCGGCTCGTGCCCAGAGCCGTATGCCGTCTTGGCACTGGATGGGTACAGTGTTGCAGTGGCACTTTAGAAGCCGGCTCGTGTCCGGAGCAGCATGCCGTCTCGGCACTGGATGGGTGCAGTGTTGCAGTGGCGCTTTAGAACCTGGCTCGTGCCCGGAGCCGTATGCCGTCTTGGCACTGGATGGGTGCAGTGTTGCAGTGGCGCTTTAGATCCCAGCTCGTGCTCTTCTGTGTGCTGCCTTTCCTGGGCCTCATTGCTGATTCCTGAGAAACGGCCTTCATTAAAGCTCCCCTGATTAATCCATTCGTTTTCATTAACTGCTTATCCAGGGTCAAGGCGATTCCGTGGCCTTCACTGGATCCGAAGGCAGGATCGCCCCCGACAAGACTGCACACACACACACTGAGGGTAATCAGTTTTTTTGTCTGCTTTTGGATTATTTGGATATTATTGGGGGTAATTTTTCTGGTTAGAAGTGAAGTCCACACTCCAAATGACTTCTCAGACCCCCCCGAAATATCGGTGAGGTTTGCTTAGGGCTCCATAATAAAGGCCGACACTCCTGCTCACAGAATACAATGGGGTCCTGATTCCATGGCGATCATACAAGGGATGTGTCTAGGAAATTGGCCTGTTAGGAAATGCAAAAATGTACACAGACATAAAGGAATACGGACAGAGAAGAATCTTCCATCTTTGTTTCCAAAGTCAGCCATGATTAAGAAGGTGTCAGGAGCAGGTTCTCCTACGAGCTGAATAAAATTAACAGAACTGACATTAGTGGACAAATAATAGCACACACAACAGGGAGGCTGTCCTACCGCAGCGTCAGAGAAGAACCCAAACGCCTGCGAGCTGTCTGCGTTTCCGGATCTCCTTCTGTGTCTGGGCCGCGGAGCGGCGGCCGGCTTTCAGGAATCCCTGAGCTGGGGGGGGTTACCTTCCGGAAAGCCGCTGGTTGTGTAACGTGAGCTTGCGGGACATCGCCTGAGACATTCGTCTCCCTCCCGTGCTACTCG